GGGAGCCTTTTTTATATATTGGAATTATAATTGCGTCCTTCCATATTTTTGGCACCCTCCAGTTGCATTAATAGCATCGAAAGTAACAGCCAGGATTTTTGCCCACCAGTCGGAATGTAGTTTTATGGCTTCCGCCGGAACCAAATCTGGCCCAGGGGCTTTGCCGATTTTAAGTTTAGAGATTAAATTCAAGATTTCATCGGGGTCAGTAGGAGGCCAGATGGGGAGATGATCAAATACATCATCAAGAACGTTGGTATTGGGATCTGGTGACGCAAAATATTTCCTTAAAAAGGATTCCCAGACCGGGGCAGGAATTATTGTTAAGGGGTATCTCCTTGTTCTTCTATTAATCAATTGCCAAAATTGCCGTGAGTTACGTGAACTAGAGGCGATTATAAGTGCCTGCCAACGATTTTGTTGCCACTCTTGCTTAGCCATTCTCTGGGCTTGCTTATATGCTATTTTTGCTTGTTGGTAATTCCTAGGTAATACTAAAGCACCAGAAGATTTATATTCATTGTAAATGGCACAAAGATGTCGTCTAGCTTGTTTGCATTTTAAGTTAAACCAAGGGGCACCGGTCTTAAAAAGGGCCCGATTTACTTGGATGGCTGGTACTGTGAAAAAGGACATAAGATCTTCTGTAAGCAGAGAGAATGAATTGATAATTTGTTCATGCCCATACAGATCTAAATCTAAAACAGCATGAGTTTGAATTATCTCTTGGGCTATTTTGGGCAATGAAGATGACTGATTTATACAGCATAATTGGTGTGCATGTCGCTTTGCTGAGTTACAAGAGGCGATGTCCTTTTGCCAAAGGGATATAATCTATAATTAGACACAATGGAGACAACAAAGGAAGGAGAGGGAAGTGGAGGCAGGCAGAGGAAAACAGGAAAAGAATATGTGCTACTTCGGTTAAAGATACTTAGGCAGTAAGGCACAAGGAGAATGGCCTTGATCACACAATGTGAAGCTGGCAGCTGCTGCGCTCCTCTCTCTCCCTGCTGCTGTGGTACGAAGAGCTAAGCCAGGAGCTTATCATCACAAGCAAATCCGTGCTTGGGACTTGTCTCTCCCAAGCAAACCACAAATGGCAAGCCATGAACAAAGCTTGGTTACAGATCATGGCTTGTCTGGAGTGAGACAAATCACAAGCCCCGTTTCAGACATACCGCTAAGCCAAATCACTTAGCTCCTGATAGTGAAGGAGGCAGAGGAGCGAGGGAGCAGCCAGGTGGCCAGAATTTTCTTGCTCAAGGTAAGCCGGTTTAATTCAGCATTACATGCAAACCAGGCTACTGTGTCAAAGGCTTCACAAAAAAGTAGATTTTGAGGGGGTCTTTGAAAGAAGTAAGGTGCTCTGGGAGGAGGATAGCAAGAGAGGAAAGGTGAGCTGGAACTGTTTAAGGGAGCAGGAGATCTTCAGACAGCTGAGGGTGGCAAAGACTGGAGAAATGAAAGTTATCAGGATCTAGATACCAGTATAGCCTACAATCTTAAACCTTTTACTGCCCGCCCCCCATTTATATTAGCCAATGCCTTGCAGTCTAGGGTCCATTGGAGTCTGGAGGGGTGCTGCTGAGATAAACACAGTGGTGCCCCGCAAGACGAATGCCTCGCAAGACGAAAAACTCGCTAGACGAAAGGGTTTTCCGTTTTTGAGTCGTTCCGCAAGACAAATTTCCCTATGGGCTTGCTTCGCAAGACGAAACGTCTTGCGAGTTCTTGCGAGTTTGTTTCCTTTTTCTGAAAGCTGCTAAGCCGTTAATAGCCGCTAAGCCGCTAATAGCCGCTAAGCCGCTAATAGCCGTGCTTCGCAAGACGAAAAAACCGCAAGACGAAGAGACTCGCGGAACGGATTAATTTCGTCTTGCGAGGCACCACTGCATTTTATTTCACTGATATCATGACTTTTCCCCACGAAATCATACCATATCCAAGCTCAACTTTAGCAAGACTTCTGGATCATGTGTCTTCAGGTCATGCAGTCAGATTTAGTTTCCAGGTAACACTTAATCACAAGTTATTGCAAAAGAAAAGGGGAAGCAGCGCTTGTGATAGGACTTTCCAAGAGTGAAGGAAATATAGCTTAACTAGGATTAAGGGTACTTAATGATTCTATAAAGCCCTTGTGATATAAACTAGGGGTGGGCAAACTTCCCTCAGTTCAGGTTGGAAATGAGTCACCAGCTATTTTAAATTGACTTTTAATGTACTATATCAGAATGGTTCAAAATCCCACCTCTCTTTTGTCCTAAGCCCTGAATATTAATTTCAGCTCTAAAACAAGTGCACCCTGCCCCCAAGGGGGATGTTTAAGATTTACAGACAAGGTGAGCAAGTCTAGTGATGCTCTCAAACTTCGAGGGGGGAAAAGCTATGCAGCCTTTAGGCTTGCTTAACCAAGTAAGTTCTAGGAAGCTTCCTAACTCAAGCAACCAATAGCATTTGCAAATCATTTTATTACAGGCTTTGTTAGCTTCCCCTAGCTCAGTGATTCCCAAACATTTCCTCCATGGGCCACCTGAAAATTGCTGAGGGTCCTGGCAGACCATTTAGTTGTTTTTTCTGCCTGTTGTAGTAATTGTAGTGCACTAGATGCTGTATGATCGTTAATTGTCTTTTTTATCAACACACTGTGGACCACTTGAATGAAATTTGTAGACCACTGGTGGTCCATGGACCACAGTTTGGGAACCCCTACACTAGCAGCCACGAAATTAAAAGACGCCTGCTTCTTGGGAGAAGGGCAATGACAGGCCTAGACAGCATCTTGAGAAGTAGAGACGTCACCTTGCCAACAAAGGTCCGTATAGTTAAAGCCATGGTTTTCCCGGTAGTGATGTATGGAAGTGAGAGCTGGACCATAAAGAAGGCTGATCGCTGAAGAATTGATGCTTTTGAATTATGGTGCTGGAGAAGACTCTTGAGAGTCCCATGGACTGCAAGAAGATCAAACGCATCCATTCTTAAGGAAATCAGCCCTGAGTGCTCACTGGAAGGACAGATCATGAAGCTGAGGCTCCAGTACTTTGGCCACCTCATGAGAAGAGAAGACTCCCTGGAGAAGACACTGATGCTGGGAAAGATGGAGGGCACAAGGAGAAGGGGGCGACAGAGGACGAGATGGTTGGATAGTGTTTTCGAGGTTACCAGCATGAGTTTGACCAAACTGCGGGAGGTAGTGGAGGACAGAGGTGCCTGGCGTGCTCTGGTCCATGGGGTCACGAAGAATCAGACACGACTAAACGACTAAACAACAACAACAACACACTAGCTTATGTTTTCACCTCTCCTTTATAATGAAACAAAAGACTTTTCTCCAGTGCCTCTGCGTCCAGCACTGAGACATCTGGGAAGAAATGTCCCCCACCCATGTGGAGAATTTCATTTCTCAGCTGTAGGCAAATTATGAAGGGAGCAATGTTTGATGGGCACCTCTACCAAGCTTACAAGCTCAGCAAATCTGTGTCCCAAACCAGTATCTATTAGTTTCTGCAATATCACTGATATAAACCTTTTGTGGTTCTCCGGGTACCACTTGAGTTCTGTTACTACAAGCACCAACCATTTTGTGTGTGGGTTCTGTTCCTAGCTCCCGTGTGCATCTGTTGAATGGACATAAGCATGCCCTACCTCCATTGCACCCCATTACACCACCACCACCCTGGTTCTACCCTCTACCGTGTCCAAAAGGACCCACATGTCAGCAATTGGACTGTTGAGAATTCCATTCCTCCCGTGCTGCAGATGTGTGGGATTGTTACATGTCACATGTCTGTTTACATTCCAGCAGTGATTATTGGAGTCTTGTGAGCGGAAAGGGAGATACGCTGTTTCCGCTCTGTATAGCTATTGTTTTTGCAGTTCTCTTCCCGAGGAAGAAAGAGAGAGAGAGAAGCCATGTTTTTCTTTGTTCTGTTACGTTTGATTTAATTTGCAATAAATTAGGCTTAGATGTTACTCCTCAAGGCTGAGCTTCTGTTTGGACTCTGCTAGTCGTGTGCTCGGGATGCGGGTGGCGCTGTGGGTTAAACCACGGAGCCTAGGACTTGCCGATCAGAAGGTTGGTGGTTCGAATCCCCGCAACGGGGTGAGCTCCCGTCGCTTGGTCCCTGCTCCTGCCAACCTAGCAGTTCGAAAGCACGTCAAAGTGCAAGTAGATAAATAGGTACTGCTCCGGTGTGAAGGTAAACGATGTTTCCGTGCGCTGCTCTGGTTCGCCAGAAGCGGCTTAGTCATGCTGGCCACATGACCCGGAAGCTGTACGCTGGCTCCCTCGGCCAATAAAGCGAGATGAGCGCCGCAACCCCAGAGTCAGTCACGACTGGACCTAATGGTCAGGGGTCCCTTTACCTTTACCTAGTCGTGTGCTCATATCCTTGGATATGGGTCACATCAGCGTGACAAGACCGGAGTGATCAATCCTGGGCAACACTTCGTTGGGCGGGAGGCACCGGCCTCGGCGTTATCGCCCAACATGGATGCGCCTAAAATGGTCGCTGCCTGCATGTGAAATTCTTCTAGGGAGTCACTCGTCAATTTAGGATTGGCGGCTACCCAATAGAAATGTTTGACTTAGAGCTAGTTGGAAGTTGACTTAGAGCTAGTTGGAAGTAAGATTGGATTAAAGTTGTTCCTAGGAGTAGGGCAAATGACAGAATATTAGAGTTTGTAGTGAGCAAGTGACATTGTGCAAGCACTTCTGAAACTATCAGGAGTGGAGATGTTGCTTTGTGTAATCCTTCAGCAAGTTTCTCATGGCCAAGAACACAACTGAGGTAGAGACAGGCAGGATCCATGGGACACAAAACTAGGAGACACTCGATAACTTGAAATGTAAAATTAGTGTGGGATGTTATTTCAGAAATAATATTTTAAACACCTGAAGCATTCACACAATTTTTGCAAGGGTGATAAAAATGTAAGTAACGAGTTTCTGGCTCACCATTAATTACAATTTACCTTAGGACTTAATGAGAATTTCTTACCTGCTACAGAGTTTGGGCGAGGCATAAGGTAGAGTGGAATGGATTGTACTGACTGGGATAAAACAGTCTCTAAGTTCCTTTCAGGGATCTTGTTCAAACTGTATGTAGAGGCCGTCATGTTTTCATCCACTCGATATAAACAAGAGTCTATGCTGGATTTTTGAGACTGCCAAGGTTTCAAGTTTCCTCCAGATCCTAATTCTTTACTGCTTTCCCCTCCATACTTAGCACGATCCATATTTTCAGAATAGCTTGTCAGTGTTGCTGTAACAAACAAACAGAGAACATGAATAACAAAGGAGGCAGTTAATTCAAGTGTGACTCTACAGATGAAGGCAAGGATTGCCATGGTTCAACCATGTCTATTTCTTCAGCTGCCTTATAAGAGTATGAATGCAGCCGTTGCACTTTCTGGCCTGCTACCCCACTGCTGATCTGTATACTATCCACTCCTGTCTGCTGTGGGGCAAGCCTAGATCTCTGGTGAGCGATGGGACCAACAGTGTTAAGGCTAGAGCAGAGAGGTGGTGCTGCAGAGCCTTCAGGTACAAATTTTAGGTGAGGTCTCTCAGTTAACAATCTGACAACCCTAATATAATTTTGCATTGCATTTAGATACCAAAAAGTGAACTGTAAATTCAAAGATTATGGAATCCAAATTGGTCCGCACAACAAAATGTTGCAGTTAAGCCACTCTCTCCCAGATATATGCCCTTCCAACCTGCAATATGGACAATTATTTGCACTTGCTCTGAATTTTGCAAAAAAACAACAACAACTAAATGAGAAAGACCAGGGTCTTTGCTGATACCTTTCAGGTTTTATTTGTTTTGTTTTCTGCAAACCTTGAAGTTCAGTCTGCTGATACATCCCCCTTCCTCTTATGCATGAGTGTTTGTCTACTGTGGCTAGGCAAGCATGTATATTTCCCCTTGACAATCAGAAACAGAATATAAGATGACATATGTCAACTATTCTGCCACATAAATGCATGTTTTGGAATTACAGCGGAGATGAATATGCAAATATACATTTGCAGTTTGAAAAATGTAACACCACAAATTGTATTTAAGGAAACATGAAGGTCACAAAGGCCAAACTGTTAGTTGCTGGAGTTCATCATTAAGCAGAAGTTTTGCTCTTACAACATAATATATACAGGAGCCCTGACTTTTCTTCTCAGCTGTTCTGTTCATCAATCTGTTCGTTGCTACAGTGAACTCAAGATGACGGCTACTTCCCACTTCTCTGTCATTCTCTCACATTACCTCCAACGGGGTTAATTTAGCTATCATTCAAACAGGACACAATCACTGGGTGGAACTCAACACTGCACGAAGGCAATTTGTTCCGCCAGGGCAAGCATTTCAGCTTGCTAGATTAAACGATCCCCACTCTCCTGACTCCCCCAAACCAATTTTGAGGGGGTAAGCAGGGGAAGAGAGAGAATCCCCATTGTGCAAAGAGGAGCCTTTGCACAGGGATTCTGCTGACAGGACTCATTGGTTGACTCCCAGCCATTGGATCTGGGCTTCTGTGTATGCAGGCATTATATCACCCAGCCCTGAAATATGAAATTTGGAGTCTGTTCTCTGCAGTTTATATTTCAATCTGAGGCAAAGGAGAATTCAACACTTCTCAGCCCTCAAGCCATGTCCCTGCCACCCCCAATGCATATGATCCTCCAAGCCTCCTTCTTTTCCATCCACTTACTTGGCTGCTCCTGCTACTTTGGCTGAAGGCAGGAGTGAGGAAATAAGTGATAGACATTTCTCTCAACTCTCCATCTTCCCAGCACATTGTACTTCCCTGTGTGCTTGCATCCAGTACATTGCATAGCAGTGCAACAGGCACCAGAACTGGAGATTGGGGTGGAGGGTGAGGAGAGGCCTGAAATTGCCTCCTCTGCACTGGATCTAGCAGCCAGGCACATGGGCGGCATCATGCGTTAGAAGGGAGTTTGGAAAAACATGGGTGAATGAGAGCAAGCAAGGAAGAAGTTTGTGGGGTGGAAGGGGAACAGTTGGAGGTGGGATTGGAGCCCACTGCACTGTCAAAGACATTGTGGAGAGTGCATGATGAGGTCCAATTTGGCTCGCAGCTAGCCAAGGAATAAACAAACCAATTATCTAAGCCCAATCATGAGCTTGACCAGAGGAACGTCCTACACAAATCTGGTCAACTAGATTTTTCTAGATCCTCTTAGTGTATACATCACCATATGAAATTATCTTAGCAAGCTATAAACAAGGGCAGTCCAACTTTTCATACCAAGTGGGCCGCAAGAGTACTCTGACATGGAACCCACAGGCGGCACAATTTGACACTCCACGCCCCACCCTTTCCAAAGAGAGGCTCCGGCAGGGTCCTAGAACCCTCCCACCACTTCCCAAATCTGGGAACACACTAACTATGCTTTGGAAGGAGGAAGGAGGACTCTAGGACCCTACCAGAGCTTTGCTTTAGAAAGGAAGTGTGAGGGCTGGGGGGCAGGCATGTTGGCTATTTGCAGTATGGTAGCGCAGCGGAAAGCTTGCTGGGGAGACCTTGCATTAAAAAAAAGGGACTCAAAAATAACTTAAACAAGGTTTTAATAAGAAAAACAAAAACTCCATTTACACTAATACATCAACAAACCAGACCCAACCACCAACCCATCCCCCAGGGTAATGGGAGAGCTAGGTGCTGCTCCTTATATACTACACCCAAATGCTGACACACCTTAATCAAATACAACTCAGCAGCACCTGCTATGTTTCACAGCTGTAAAGCTGGGTCTCGTTATCTTGCTCTGGCCCTTGCTCTGGCCCCTTAAAGACATACACATCGGGTGGAACAATGATGAACCTTTACATTTAAAGAAACCATTCAACAAGGCATCCAATGCAGAAAGAATGTAGTTGGTCAAAGGAGCCGTGGACCCAAAATGGTTGAAAATCTCTGCTTTATGGGTTATGAGAGAGGCAGAGAGAAACTGCAATTGAAGTGAGATAATATGCAACATGGACCGACAAATCTAAGAACGATAAACTTAGTTTGCAACAAATTTCCTTTGAGGCTTCTATTGCTTCCATTAGTAATCTTTGTTATGAGTTTGGCTGCCTTGATTAGCGCAAATGGACCTATTGTTAAACCAATGGGTAGCCAGGGACTTCCTCTCCCATGCCTTTGAAATAAGGCACCCATCAGAGTTTAGAGGAAGGACAGGATGCACACTAGAAGCAGATGGGGGAGAGATGCTGAGGTCAGACAGATCTGGACACCGATGGAGGTAGGCAGCCAGGCAGATGTGAGTTCATCTGCACTGGCTTCTGCTGGGGAGCTGCCTTGGGTCACCAGTTTTACTGCCTGTTTTTGAAATCTATTTCCTTTTACTATGCTTGTAAATAAAACAGATACTTCAGTGACAACTTAAGTATGTAGCGTACTTTCATTCAAAGGAAACTAAATCCCATAGTACAGTTCCCTGGATTTCTCATACTTGAGAAAGTATGGAGTGCTTAACCCTAGTGTCAGAAGTAGAGCAAGGTTTCTTTCAGGAGAAACTGTGATGTGATGTGATTTAGCCAATATGTAGAAAATTGCCGCACCGCTTCTAGTAGAATCAGGGTATCCCACTAGGAGATGAAGATGACTTAAAGCAACCCTGAAGGCTGCACAGGAATAGGTGAAAGCCTTGCTTGCTCAGCAGCTAAAGGGATCAAAGCTGACCTAAAAGCCCAGCTGCACAGATCCCATCTGAGTCTGGTTAAGACATTCCACAAGATGTATGAGTATCTAATGAGCTTGGACTGGAGTACTACAGTCAGACACTGAAAATAAGCAGGCTTTATCTACCTTCTGGCTTTCCAATGCAAACTAGAGCAAAAAGCTATATGAACAGCTGCTGACTAGTGAAAGTGCAACCTATTCTAATAGTGGCTTGAAGGAGATTTAGTTGTAGCCATTGGTGAGGGGGAAACCCTTAAACTTTTTCACCTTGTGTGAAAGCCTCGTGTAAAGGCCTTGGTGGGATGGACGGATCAAATCTCTTACAGTAGGATTAATTCACAAGCCGGTGGAAGCCAGGCAGTCTGAGAAGCATATCTGCCTCATATTGAGACCATGCTCAGTAAAATGGAGATGACAGAAAGAAACAGAAACTACTGGCAGTTAGCCTGAATGGCTCAACCTCTCAAGTCCAGCAAGAGATGGCCCCAGATGAAGACTTCAGGGCTTTTGATCAAAGGTTTAGATCAAACCACCGGACAGAGTGGGCCAGGAACCAGAGCAGGAATGACAAGAGGAAGAAAGAAAAAAGAGGACTCTCTGAGAGAAGTTGCAGCGGATTTGGAGAGACTTATGAGCCAGACCTACCAAGATGCCACTGAAGCAAAACAGATCCCTGAATGAGCATTTGATTAGAATTTTCACGTGATCCTCATGGAAATGAACCAAGCAGTGAATATTTCTGCAAGAACAGACTCCTCCGGTGCAGCCTCTGGTTAAAGAAATGTGGTTCATCAAAGGAATGGTGTTGGGTGAGCACAAATCTCTCTTTTTTCTCATTTGAAACAATTTACTACAAACTTGCTTGCTAGTTTAGAATTTACTTTTGTGTTTTTGTTTTGTTTTTAAAAATAATTTTATTGAGATTTAAGATCACCCACCAACACCACCAACACCAATAAAACATCAAATCTTATTACATATATCCTACTTTATGCTCTGTAGAGCTGTTGACTTCCGTCCTTCCCTTCCACCAGTTTTCCTATTCCATTCTATGATTCACAGTTTCTTTGATTAAATATTACAATATGACATAAGATTAACTTCAATCCTGCCAATGTTTTCAAATTTGTACAGTTCTCACTTATATAAATCAAAAATTTACTCCATTCTTTTTGGTACTTTGTCTCCTCCTGATTGTGAATTCTTCACACATGGCTCTTAATACAGCTTGCACTGAAAAGGGTAACTCTAATCTGTTTTCTAGACACACTTGTATCAACCCTTTTGCCTTTCATTATTCCAAACAAGAAATTCTAACAAATTATAATGGGAAAGTATATATTAGAATTATTTTGATAACTTTTCTACTGCAGAGAATAGAGTAAGGGTTGAGAGGTAAATGTCTTGCACAAAGAAATTGGCAGCTAAAACTTTTATTACTGAGGCAACAGAAAATGTTGAATATGGCAAGATAGTGCTCTATTGATACACATAAACCTGTCCTCTTTCCCATGCCAAAACTCCATCTTTTAAAAAGCTGGTTAAGTATTTTAAGGATTGGGGGAACAGAGGAGAGCCAGGACAAGTTAAGGCAATTCTAATTTCTACTTGAAAGAAGCACAAAGAGCTATGGCTCTCTTCCTCCAGCACTACATAATACACACCTTCCACATTACTTCATAAACTGTGTTGTAGAAAGCTGTTGAGATCATTTCTGTCAGATAACCAAGAGGCAGACATTTGCCAGTCCCTGAGTTGATAAGATTGCGCTCCAGTGGAAGTCTCTCTGGTATCACATCAATAGCTTCACTAGCCGGTACTACTGAGAGGTAACACAGATTATATCTACTCTCTCAGTTCTGATTTTCCTGAACACTCTGGGAATCAGGGTTACTGCAGATGGAAGCAAATTTCTGAGCCAAGGTGACAACAGCAGTTAGGTCCCCTTTGCACCTTGCAACAAGGACCTGGAGAAGCTTTGCACTTTGTTGCTAACAGGAGAAACAAAACTGTACTATGATAGGGATTCTGCAGTTGATCATGACTTGTGAAATACATTTATTTTGAGAGACTGTTTCTCTTGATCCAAGCCCTGCAAGTTAACTGGAGGGCTCATCTACTGAGCATCCCATGGATATACCGTACTCTACCCCAAAGAAAGGTTAGAATGACAAACAGTCTTGTTGCACCTTAAAGACTAATGAATTATTATGGCATATGCTTTTAATTGACTAAAGTCCACTTCACCCAGTGAATGAGATACTATCCTCAGGGTGTGTGTGTAAGTGGTCCATAGTGGGATCAAATGGCAATGAAATGCAAAAAGTACACTCTACAACTATTAAATTGACGCTTAGCTGTATGCAAAATAAGCACAGTAACTATTCATAACAGCAGCACTTTGTATTAATACAATCATCCTCTCATTATTAAGTTAATCCTGTAGTAGGAAAGTATTGTTTCTTTTCATGCCTGAGCAAATAAGAATCAGTCTTAGTAAGCTTTAATTCAGCAGTTTCATGCCAATTCTTCATGTCACTAACATTCTATTAAACATGATTCCAAGACACATAGCATTACTGGTGCCCATGAACATGACTCACCTATTATGCCGCTGTCTCTGCTCTCAAGAGTAGAAGTGGGGCTGGTGACAGCTCCATAACTGCAGTCTTTTGCTATAACATCCTTGGTGCTAGTTTGAGGGAGGGTGGAGCAGGGACTACTGGCAGGTGGTGAAGCAGTGCTACTGGTCAGCGTGGAACAAGGACTTATTCGTTGGGACACTGCTGAGGTCTGCAAAATTGAAAACGGGAACAATTCAGTCATTGCAATCTATTAGTATAGCATTCAGACACTGAACTCTGGCTCATACTTCAGCATCTATATAGTATAACAACAAATATACTGTATTTTTCGCTCTATAGGATGCACCAGACCATAAGACGCACCTAGTTTTTGGAGGAGGAAAACAAGGAAAAAAATATTCTGAATTCCAGAAGCCAGAACAGCAAGCTTCCCCTGCCCTCAAGACGCTTTGCACGGTGAAGCCAGAAGCCAGGACAGCAAGAGGGATCACTGCACAGAGATCCCTCTTGCTGTCCTGGCTTATGGGATAGCCGTGCGCAGCCTCTCCCAGGCAGCGGAAGGAAGGCTCCCCCAAGAGCCGTGCTCCCTTTAAAGAGCGTGCGAAGCGTGTGTGCGGCTCTTGGGGGCTTTTCCCGGAAGAGGGAGAAGGGCAGCCCTTCTCCCTCCTCGGGGAAAAGCCCCCAAGAGCCACACACACGTTCCACGCAGCTCTTTAAAGGGAGTGCTGAGCAGAGCCTCCCGCCTGAATTTGTTCCGTAAGACGCACACACATTTCCCCTTACTTTTTAGGAGGGGAAAAGTGTGTCTTATAGAGCGAAAAATACGGGAGTTGGCTGTTGGAATGTCATCTGGGCTAAGACAATGGTTCTAAAGTAACCTCTCTTACACTTCCAGGCCATTCTAAGTCCTACCATTTTCTCTTGGTGCCGAATGCACTAAAATCACATTCTTTCGACAAAGACCTGCAAAATTAGTACAGGCTGCTGGTGTAATACTTGAAAGTACACCCAAAGTTGCACTGTATCTGGAACTGATAGCCTCCTCACATAATACCTATTTAAAATGCTGTATTTCGATTGTATCCCACATACCTGCTACTTTGAGAGCTAGCCACAGAAAAGACACACATAATTCTATTTTCCGCTTTCCCCCAGTAGTAAGCAACACATATTTTAACCAGCATAATGTCATTATTTGTGCTAGATACCAGTACCGGAATGGCAGCATTTTGCAGAACATTGGCAAAAATGGTTTTCTACACAAGCAAGACAGCTGTGAAAGCCGAGAAGACTATTTGAGTTTCCTTCTATTTTAGCATCCCTGGCACAATATATACAGGAAATCCAATGAAGACTTGCAGTCTGGCACTTTCCCCAATGACTCTGCTCAGGAAGCTCTCTTGGCATCTGATTTTGCTTTGTAAGTGCTTCTTCCATTCACGAAATATGACAATGATTTTGTACTCGGATAAAGAAGGACGTATCAAAACAGCTCCCCTTTTTCTCACAGGGAACATTTTTCATGCCAAATTTAATTTTTTGAAAAAGAGCAACCAATAAAGTATTTCCTTTGCATAATAGAATAATCCAAAGCTGAAGGCACATGAGGTTGGTATTGATCAAAAAGGGAAGATTTATTTTACTTTAACTGTCTGCAAAACCATGCATGGAGATGAGTGGCTTCAAGATGTCTAATTTGACAAACAATCTTGATTCTATTGAAGAAGAGAGTTTGTATGCTCAGCTTATAGCGTGCTGAAAAAGCCAGCTGCTTTAATTTTGCATATTTTAAAAAAGTTACTTTTAAAAGCCATCATAGGCCACCCACATTGCAGTCTGTGACAGTGTTCCTACCAAAAATGCACATGCCAACTCAGAACCAAAATTGGTACTGGTACTTGTTACTGCTCTCCAGTGCTCTGAGCCCTGATTAAGCATAAGGAATCTGAAACATTGGAGAAACAGATCAAATAGCATGTGTGCTGCACCTCAGCCATTAGTGCACGAATGATCTTGTCTTGCTTAATGTATTTGTGAGACCATTCCCACAGGCTTCCAGATGTACATGTCGACTGCAAGCAAACAAACCCTGGGAATGTTAAACTCTTTACTAGGGAAACTTTCAGAGCCTTTCCTGTCCAACGTTTGTCTTATAACAGCAGACTTTTACCAAATGTGGTGGCAATATAAAGAGCACCAATATATACAGAAACAGTTAACAGAAATGTTAAATAAATTTTCGGTAATAGCGTCGCTCCTAACCTACTAGAATGTGTGCTTAATTATCTGCAAATATAAAAGCGGAAAATATATAAGAAGCTGTATTATATTTTATAACAATGGCCAGATTAACCCTTGCCACTAAGTGGAAGACTTTCGTATGACTGAAAAATAAAATAGCATTGAAAAACAGGGTAGTAACTATACGAAAATTATATAAACAATGAAATTGGGAACCAAATGAAACACAACTCAACAATTTTGGGAGTGCTGTTATTAATAATCAGGAATACTTTGGTATTTAATTTGTTTTCTTCATATATATATTTGTGTGTGTTTATGTTATATGAGGTAAAAAAAAAGGTAACAGACCCCTGGACAGTTAAGTCCAGTCAAAGATGACTACGGGGTTGCGGCGCTCATCTCGCTTTCAGGCCGAGGGAGCCAGAGTTTGTCCACAGGTCATGTGACCAACATGACTAAACCGCTTCTGGTGCAACGTCACCGTGACGGAAGCCAGAGCGCACAGAAACACAGTTTGCCTTCCCGCCGCAGTGGTACCTATTTATCTACTTGCACTGGTGTGCTTTCAAACTGCTAAGTTAGCAGGAGCTAGGATGAAGCAACAGCAGCTCACCCCATTGCGGGGATTTGAACTGCCAACTTTCCGATCAGCAAGCCCAAGAGGCTCAGTGGTTTAGACCACAGCGCCACCCACGTCCCTTATGTTATATGAATCTTAAATCAGATGTATTAATTTTTAATGATATAAAAAATTGTTTAAGCATTATGGATGTGAGAAATGTCTGCAACTGACTCTTGCAAAGTAGGGCGATGAAAATATAGCCAGAATTAATTTAGAAGGACACTTGCTTGGGTATCTGTGAGGGAAGCGATAGAATTTGCTGCAGAAATTCTACTGCTGCTTGTGAAAATTCTCACTTCTTTGGAAAGCAAATATATAAGTGTGGCAAGAAGGAGAGCACCTCTTCCCAATAAAGCAAAGAAAGACAAGCCTTTACACTAGATAGCAAAACACAAAATCTGTTAGCGACACAGAATGACTGGAGGCAAGAGAACCACTGCCAACAGCCCAAGCACCCCACCTGAACCAACAGGGCTCTTATTTTTTTATTGATTGTAAGTGGCTTTTCAGGAGTTCTGGTTATGTAAGAAACTCCCAGCGGCAAAAGGGACAGTCTGCAAGCTGTTGTGTCTCAAAGTGGTTTTCTTTACTTAATGAGATTTGAAAGTTAAGGTCTAATTAATAACTCGATTCTCAACCAAACACCAGATACTATGATTAGCAAGGCAACGGTTGGTAATCCAAACAATTTCCCCCACAATGATTCATTATGTTGAGCAATCAATCCCAGGACAGACAGATTCCAGAGGTAGGTTTGCTGCTATGTGTAGTGGCAGTAAGCTACAATGAGTGGAAAGAGACTCAAAGAGGGTTGAAGGAAAGGGGTAACAGTGCTATTAATATAACAGCCTCCTGCTAGCTGATTCAGAGCACCATCATACTTTGTAATCTTCTCCTACAGATTGCTCATTGCATGAGGAAGGAATCTCAACTGGAAAACTCTTTTTTGCCCCCTTCCACCAGGCCCAAACTGAAGCAGCTATCAGTCTCTTGTTCAAGCACATATAACCCATGTACATCATAGGGACCAAATTGCTAATATTTTTCAAAATGGCAAAACAAAGGAAATTTTAGTTCAGCAAAATATAACATGAATGTTATCTCGTGTATCTGACATTAATTAGCCAGGTCCTTCTAGTGCTTCAGCCCATTTTAAGTGCTGTTTTTCATGTTTAAGTCTCACTGAGTTTTCTACCAGGCTATTTGAAGTTAGGGCCTTTGTGTTGTGTTGCTATATAATTCCAAGGCATCACACGGCATCTAGGCCAAAGTGATTACGTTCACTCACTGATTTGGGACAAGAGGAATTCTTAACAAAACCAACCCAATTTGCCCATGCCTCACTACAGCCTTATCACTGCCCTTAACGAAAGTACCACTCGCAGAAAACAGCTTTTACAGGTATTATTTTTCCTTTACATACACAGAAAGTATTCAAAGCCCATCAGAAACCTGCTCATGCAAAAACTAGCTCAGAGATATAAATCTATTACAGAATGCAACCATTCCTCCACAGATACCTTCCTGTCGTTGCCTTCCAGAAGCATATTTGCTTTTTATAAGAAGATGGAGTCTATTTTTTAATCCCTGAACACAAGGAACCACTTATAACGGAAGTCTCTGCTCTCTGCTTTGATGTATTAAATTAAGTGCCCATTAAAAATAATAAACTAACAAAAAAGGATGTTTGTACACATCCTTGCCTTCAACGCTACCCAGGCACACTGCTTCACTGGCTGTCAGGCTGCCCCCACAAGAAACTGCCTGACAGTCAGAAAATAAGTGGCTTTGTAAGAGGGGATTGTGATAGTTGTCAACCCATGTGATTCTCCTTTTTTTAAAAAAATAATTTTTTTATTAGATTTTCCACAGTGATAACACAAACCACAAAGCAAAATGATACACAAAAACAGAAAAAGAAAAAAGAAAGGGGGGAAAGGGGGAACAATAAACAGATAAACAATAACAACAAACTTAATTCTTCACAAATCCGACCTTTTAAACATCTTGGTTGACTTCCTCAAATCCCTCCCTTGTGAGTTTCCTTGTAATTAAAAGTAACAGCTTTCCAATATCATTATTAAACTAAAACAATTTCCAATTATAGCCCATCTTATTCACTTTTCTTAACATTCTAAATCCCATTTATTTAATTATAACTTAATTTACTCCTAGGCCTATTTCTTTCTTTCAAGTAATTTCTAATTTTTATATATTATATATATTATAATAATATTATAATATTACATTATAATATAATATTATTATATTATTTTATTATATTATAATATAATATTATAATATAAATATAATATAAATATATAAATATAATATTTATAATATTATATATATATATATAATTTTTGGTGGGACGCGGGTGGAGCTGTGGGTAAAAAGCCTCAGCGCCTGCCTAGGGCTTGCTGATCGAAAGGTCGGTGGTTCGAATCCCCGCAGCGGGGTGCGCTCCCGTTGTTCAGTCCCAGCGCCTGCCAACCTAGCAGTTCGAAAGCACTCCCGGGTGCAAGTAGATAAATAGGGACCGCTTACTAGCGGGAAGGTAAACGGCGTTTCCGTGTGCGGCTCTGGCTCGCCAGAGCAGCGATGTCACGCTGGCCACGTGACCCAGAAGTGTCTCCGGATAGCGCTGGCCCCCGGCCTCTTGAGTGAGATGGGCGCACAACCCTAGAGTCTGTCAAGACTGGCCCGTACGGGCAGGGGTACCTTTACCTTATATAATTTTTGTATTACAATATTTATTCAAATAGTCCTTGAACTCTTTAAACTCCTCTTCTTTCTGGCCCCGGATTCTTCCAGTCAGGTCAGCTAGCTCCGTGTGATTCTCACCTTAAACGTCACCCAGTGCAGAGCCACCTAATAGCCAGCTAGAGGGTGAATTTGCAGGTAGAGACTGCATGGGCTGAGAGTTCAGACATTTCCCACTTGCAAACCTACAAGGCATCTCAAAGAGGTGGATGGGGATTGTGCCTTCAAAGACAGCCAACCAACCAATCTCAGTTTGGGAGGCTGTCACTTGAGGACACCTTTCAAGCTGGAATGGAATGACCTTAAAGGTGGGACTGCGTGAAATTCCACTTCCCAACACATTATATTTTTTCATAAGAATGTTTATATACTCCACAAAAGATTACAATTAAAATCTCAAAACAATTTAAGCTGAAGGGCATAAGTGCATCCATATGGTACGCCAGATCCTTCCCACTCTACCCCACGCAGGCCAACGTTAAATGTCAATCACTTGATGCCATTATGACATCCTGTGACAACTTGAAAGGGGCTCGCATTTGAAGTCTGTCTGCAAGCAAACCACTTGCAAAAGGACTTCAGAAAGATGTCTTGGTAAAATGCCATTTCCCAAGGTTTGAGTTGGGTATCAAAAAGTGTTGTACTGACAGCTGGAATCAGAAACAGAATCTCTGCCAGCACCAAGGAACTATAGATACTGGGGCCTGAGCTAGATATCAGAACTGCCCCTTCCAAGTAATGCCCCAAGGCTTGAGTTTGGTAGCAAGACTGTCAATATGAATGAACTCAGGGTACCATGACTTGAACTGGGTACGAATACCGTCTGTACAGGAGAATTTTAGCTACCAAATCTAGAGCTAGGGTACTGAGAGTGCAAGAAACATTGACCCTGCTTTTGCACTCATATACTGCTCAATACCGACTCAGCCTGGAGTGAGTAAAGGAGATGAAGTGGATTTCTGTGCAACCAGCAGTCTGCTCTGAGGGTCTTCCCAATCACAGAGGTCTTTGGAGGGTCAATGTTAATGGTGCCCCATGACTTGCAGGCACAGCTCATATCAACCTGGAGCCCAACTTTATGGCATAGCTGTCAACTTACAGATTTGAAAATAAGGGACCAGCAGCCTCGAAAATAAGGGATCAGCAGCCAAAATAAGGGATTTTCCAGACACAGGTATGTTCAACTTCTGAGCCCCTCCGAGCCAAAGGCAGAAAGCCCATCCAGCAGCCAAACGAAGCCTCAAGTGGTGGTTCCCACAGCACAGCAACCCGGCAAAGGGGATGCAGCAAGGGAAACCACCGTCACTTCTCCGCTGGGAAGTGCTGAGCAAAGGCGAGTCCCCAGGCAACGCTGCCAATTTGATCGGCACAAGGCATGCAAGCTCCACCCCCCAGTCGTTCTTAGACTCCTTATTGGGTGAGCAACGCAGTCAAGCAACACAGTTGGAGCCTCCCTCCTCCCTGGCCGGCAGGGAGGGAGGGAGAGGAGCTGCTTCCTTTGAAACCCGGGAAATTTAAGGGACATCATCAATAAGGGACACAGTGCTAGGATAAGGGGCTTTCCCGCCAAATAAGGGACGGTTGACAGCTATGCTTTATGGAACTCCTGGCTGAAGTCATGCAGGCCAGGCCCCCTTTCCTGTTGAACTTTTGGTGCTCCATGAATACTTTTTTCTTTATTCCAACAGGCATTTTAACAATTCTAATTTTGTAATTTTAACTGATTTTTATTCTTATTGCATTAAGTTTCTTGCACACTGCTTAGAGACTATTGTGATTAAGTAGCATATAAGGGTAAAAGCCTCAGCGCCTAGGGCTTGCCGATCGAAAGGTCGGCAGTTCGAATCCCCGCGGCGGGGTGCGCTCCCGTCGTTCGGTCCCAGCGCCTGCCAACCTAGCAGTTCGAAAGCACCTCCGAGTGCAAGTAGATAAATAGGGACCGCTTACTAGCGGGAAGGTAAACGGCGTTTCCGTGTGCAGCTCTGGCTCGCCAGAGCAGCGATGTCACGCTGGCCACGTGACCCGGAAGTGTCTCCGGACAGCGCTGGCCCCCGGCCTCTTGAGTGAGATGGGCGCACAACCCTAGAGTCTGTCAAGACTGGCCCATACGGGCAGGGGATATACATTGTTGAAATAAGAAATAGTGATATCCATGCAAAGTTGACCTAAACTTTGGCAGGAAAGAACTTCTAGCTGGGCTCATTTGCAGCTGGGGGGCGTTAATATAAAAAATAATTGTGTGCAGGCGGTTCTGGTTCAAGCTCGGGTGACCCAGGCTTTGGCTCAGCGACGGCAGAGTGGCTATCGGGCAATTGCCCTAAAAAAGCTCAAAAACTTTTTGCGTCTGGATTGTTACCACTTGAAATATGGCAATCCTAAGGTATTTGCAAGCGCCTTAACTAGAGCCATCAGGAGGAAGAAATGTCTACAAATTATTTCATTTGCATTGTTAATTTTATTTGGCTTTGTCAAGGGCATCGTTTTAAACTGAGGGCACAGAAATAGTACTTCATTTATTAACAGCTGCGTGAATGACTGTCAGTCATAAATGGAAAAAGATCAATCCACTGTCTTTAGAGAACGGGTGCCTGAGGGTATGAGATATAGTTTACTCAATTAAACTTACAAATCTGATAGGTTATAGAGGGAAGGCAACACAGTGATATCGTCATTGACAAATGAAGCCTTTTCATTCAATATTGGAATGATGCAGAGCAACTCTGTTCTATTTTGGGAATGATCTGAAAAACTGTGTGTGATTCTGGTTAACTCGATTTAAATTTAAGTAATTTAATATTTATTGGATATATTTGTTAATTTTTGTTATTCGATGTAAACCTAGCTACTAATTATTATTTGCGGTAGTTGTCATCCTGTTTTATCTAACATCATTAGAATGTACAACTCAGCTTATTTAATAAACATTCAAAAATCAAAAGTTACCGTATTTTTCGCCCCATAGGACGCACCAGCCCATAAGGCACACCTAGTTTTTTGGGGGGGAAATAAAGAAAAAAAATTATTTCCCCCCCAGGCGTGGGGCTGGGGCGGGGGAAGCCTGAGCTTCCCCCGACCCCAGCCCCCAGAACAGGCTGCTCTGCGCAAGCCATGAGAGCCCTCCCGCGGCTTGCGCAGAGCTACCCAAAGCCCCTGCGCGACTGCTCAGCGCGCCGGGGCTTCGGGATAAGAGGCAGCTCTGCGCAAGCCGGGGGAGGGCTCCGGCACCGACCCCTCTCACTCTCCAGGCTTCAGCGAAAGCCTGCATTCGCCCCATAGGACGCACACACATTTCCCCCTTCATTTTTGGAGGGGGGAAAGTGCGTCCTATAGGGCGAAAAATACGGTACTTTTCATTCTATTTTAAAATTAGTTTGTTGATCATGGTACTGGGAGCTCCACAAGAACTCTGCTGCCTGTAGCAGAGCCACAACTAGCTTGAAATGGGAGCATCCCACCCCTCCTCCCCCCATTAAAAATGTAAATGGGGGAGTCCCCCATCTGTGGCTAGAAAAATTATTTATCTAGTGGGGTAGGAGAGCTGGGGGAAAAATTTCACATCTGGCAACCAATGTGCCCCGTGACGGGATGAGCTCCCGTTGCTCGATCCCTGCTCCTGCCAACCTAGTAGTTTGAAAGCACGTCAAAGTGCAAATAGATAAATAGGTGCCGCTTTGGCAGGAAAGTAAACGGCGTTTCCGTGCGCTGCTCTGGTTCGCCAGAAGCGGCTTAGTCATGCTGGCCACATGACCCGGAAGCTCCCTCGGCCAATAAAGCAAGATGAGCGCTGCAACCCCAGAGTCGGTCACGACTGGACCTAATGGTCAGGGGTCCCTTTACCTTTACCTTACCAAAGTACATCTGAAACCCAAGGGGCGCATTGGTTGCCAGATATGAAATATATTGGCATTATTTTCAGCTCTCCTGCTCCACTAATCTGAGCTTGTGGGAACAAGTTGGGCCACAGGGGACAAGCTTTGCACCCACTTCAGCTGTGTCCCAATCTACTACGGTTGCATCACAATTCGAAATCAGCATTTTGTATTTCATTGGGACATGGTTCCCCCACCTCTGCCACTAGAGAAGAAAGAGCCTATGAAGTAATCTCCGATGAATCTTAGATTATGAGCCATGGCTTCCGGGGATTATATTTTTGACAGAACCCCTCATTTTGCAAATCAAGCGTTATGTCAAGGAACAAGACACAGTCAAATCACTATCAATCGGCACAAAACAAGCCCACCTGATTGTCCTCCTGTACTTCCATACTGTACTGCTGCCCTGCCTGCACTTCGGTGACTTTCTCTCCCAGGAGGAAGCCCAGGCGAGTCATGAGTGTGTTTGCTGCCTCATCTACAGATGGAGGGGGTCCCAGTTCCTGCTCAGCTTCACCTGCAGAGAGGGGAGGAAATAGGATGTCACCTGTAAAAATTATACTTCACAACATCATTATCCAATGTTTCCCAGGTCTTTCCCACCTCACTATCTCTTCTCAATATTCAAATTAGATTATGATGATGATATACCAAATATATAGTTCCATTTTCTCCCGCCAAGAGTGTTTGCTCACTTCTAAACAAATTATCTCATTGCAGCACCTATAGGATAGGAACAATCCAACTGCCTGTTATAAGGGCTAGAAACTTTTTTTTTAATAAAGAGAAAAGTTCTTCAAAGTTACCAAATACTTAAGACTCCGATTTCCTAGAGAGAAATTTGCAAGTCCACAATTGCAAAGCAAGCAAATAAATACAGTGGTGCCTCGCAAGACGAAATTAATTCGTTCTGCGAGTTTTGTCGTCTTGCAGTTTTTTTCGTCTTGCGAAGCACAGTGTCGGGAAAGCTTTGGAAAAGCTTCAAAAATCACCAAAGTCTTTAAAAACCTCAAAAAAGGCTACCACACCGCGTTCTATGAGTTGCTCCTCGAAGTCAAGTCACAACTGTATTAACGGTGTTAAGAAAAAGGAAACAAACTTGCAAGATGTTTCCATCTTGCGAAGCAAGCCCATAGGGAAAATCGTCTTGCGAAGCAGCTGAAAAAACAAAAAACCCTTTTGTCTTGTGAGTTTTTTGTCTTGCGAGGCATTCGTCTTGCGAGGCACCACTGTAACACCTATGTGAAAGAAGAATGGGAATGTTTAAATAATTATTTAGGGGACAAGGGCTCAGCAAGAAAGATCTGGCTATGTTTAGAATGATGCCGCTTGGCGAAATGTTCCCTGATATCAAGATGAGGGATTCCTTTGGAATGCAGATAGAGATAATTGATAAGAATAATGATCTGTTGTGAGCTTGACGGAAGTGGACAATAGATGAGCCTTCCTGCTTTGGCTCATCTTCCTTTTTCTTTTTCTTTTTTTTTCTATTTTTCTTTTTTCTTTTCTTTTATCTTCTCCATAGTTGCTTATGTTCTGTGTTATGTACTTTGATATTTTTTTGTAGTTTTTAAAGTTCCCCCCCCCATTACGATTAAGGAATTTTCCTTTGTAATTTTGGTTGTCTATATTTATATGTACCTGTTTAAAGCAAAATAAAAGTTGAAAAAATAAAAATAAATGAACAATTCTGAACAAAACTGGTTGAGTCTGTATGTACAGAAAACTCTTCTTCTACTAGGCCCTTGCTACTGTTTTCAGTGTTACAAACTTAAACTTAGAAACACATCCATAAATCTCAAGCCAAGAAATGTTTATACACACATATGCTCATGAGAGTTGCTCCTGGATTGCATGTTTAAACAGTGCAATTTTCATATACTTATCAAAACTGGCCCATGGCAGCTTATGTTTATTTAAAAAACAAATAAATAGCATTTTTTTTAATGTTCAACATAAAAGCAGCAGGCAAGGGGATGTGTGAACTGCTTTTAGCTAGATTGTTCTGAGAGACGGTTCTGAATTGCGATAGGTGAAGGCTCAAAGAGCAGCATGTCTTGTCCCAGTATTATTACACTACACCGTGACACAGGCAAACAAAACAAACCTCACCCCATTCTGCAGATATTTGTACCCTGTGATCCTAACACAAACAGTGGCCACTCCTTTTTTATCTTCCTGGAGGTCTTAGTTCAGAACTTCCTCAGGGTTTTCAGTGAAGCAGGCAAGTATTTGTAGCAAACCAAGCGGGTTTTCGTCAGAGACACCAGCAGTGTACTAAATATGACAATGAGCAAGATGCACAGACTGTGCAGATCCTACTGTTTATCCCATGTAACTACCGCTCAATGGTATCTGGCATAGATGATATGAACGATGATGTCCAGGGCTGGCATAGGGGCAAACATAGTTAGGTACAAGCTGATGGACTTGACACAGAGAAGAGCTCTACAAAGCATGACTGTCCTGTCCTGTCTGTCTGCCCATCAAGGAGACACATCTGGGCCCAGGGAGAGGAGGGTAGGTGAGTGATTAGTAGTGGTGGCACTTGCAACAACAGTAGAAGAACCAGATGGTCCCGATGAAGGTGGTATCAGTGCTGAATGGGGGCCCAGGTCGGGGCTGGCCATGAGTCCAGAAGTGGCACCATTCTAGGGGGCCATTGAGGTTTGGCCTTGGCGTGATCAGATTATATGAGTGAACACTTCTAGTTTCTCAAGTACCGTATTTTTCGCCCTATAGGACGCACTTTTTCCCCTCCAAAAATGAAGGGGAAATGTGTGTGCGTCCTATGGGGCGAATGCAAGCTTTCACTGAAGCCTGGAGAGCGAGAGGGGTCGGTGCGCACCGACCCCTCTCACTCTCCAGGCTTCAGGAAGCTCTGTGCAACCCTTGGGAGACCGGTGCGACTTCGTGCCGGTCTCCCAAGGGTTGCGCAGAGCTTCCTGCAGTCCCGGGCTTTGCACAGCTCTACGCAACCCTAGGGAGCCTGGCGCGAAGTCGCGCCAGTCTCCCAAGGGTTGCACAGAGCTGCCTTCATTCCGAAGCCTGGGGCGCGCTGAAGAGCGCACCTGGGCTCCGCGCAGCTCTCCGCAAGCCTGGGGAGACCAGGGCGACTTCCCGCTGGGCTCCCTAGGCTTGCGGATAGCAGGCTGTTCTGGGGGCTGGGGTCGGGGGAAGCTCGGGCTTCCCCCGCGCCAGCCCCGCGCCTGGGGGGGAAATAATTTTTTTTCTTTGCTTCCCCCCCCCAAAAAAACTAGGTGCGCCCTATGGGGCGGTGCGCCCTATGGGGCGAAAAATACGGCAAGTGCTGAATAGACATACCATCTTCTCTATCTAGCCCCAGACTCTGCAGCAGCTTAGCTACACTCAGGAGGAGGAGAAACTATTTCTTGACTCACAAGGAAAATGCCTGAGAGCTCTAAGCAACAGTCGTTGGCTGAAGCAGCTGTTTCCTGGAATGATATACGGTGCAAGCGGAGAGTGCCGTTTTACGAACAACCGGAATATTAATAATGCAGCGTGACTTGTCTTTTAAATGTGCCTCAAAAGGGGTTTTCATACTCTCAAGATGTTTTCAGGAAAAATTCATTCATAGCAGAAGACCATTGTATTGTGCATCCAATTTCATACACACAAAATAAAACTGAGATAAGAATTTTCACCACACCTGCTCAGATTTTGAGCCACTATTTCACAAGAGGCCTTAATAGTTCTAGGATGAAAGAACAACGTATTCAAGTCAAGCATTCCATTGTGTTCCCCTATGCTCCTTTGAAAAGCCCAAAACAGCTAATTATGCAGTTACAAAAGAGGGGTAAACATAACAAAAAGTGTCTATGCACTTTTTTAAAACTCTGTATATCTTTGCATGGAACTCTGTAGAGCAATTAATTTCTTTAGGTAGTTACATCCAGCTAGTTCAAGCAAAAGACTCTGCAAAGTAAAACTAGTATCAGCTTAAACAAAGACAATTTAAAAACATAGTACACATGTAAAAAGATTAAAATAAGACAGTTACATGAAAACAACCCAGTCCAGATCAGCAATCACTCCCAATCCAGAAAGAGCAACAAGAACTCCAGATCAACAGTAACTGAAAGCAGGCTGAAATAGGAAAATCTTTAAAAGCCTGTTTAAAAAGAGACTAAAGAAAGGGCAGGGACGCGGGTGGCGCTGTGGGTAAAACCTCAGCACCTAGGACTTGCCGATCGCATGGTCGGCGGTTCGAATCCCCGCGGCGGGGTGCGCTCCTGTCATTCGGTTCCAGCGCCTGCCAACCTAGCAGTTCGAAAGCACCTCCGGGTGCAAGTAGATAAATAGGGACCGCTTACCAGCGGGAAGGTAAACGGTGTTCCGTGTGCTGTGCTGGCTCGCCAGATGCAGCTTGTCATGCTGGCCACGTGACCCGGAAGTGTCTGCGGACAGCGCTGGCTCCCGGCCTATAGAGTGAGATGAGCGCACAACCCTAGAGTCTGGCAAGACTGGCCCGTATGGGCAGGGGTACCTTTACCTTAAAGAAAGGGCAGATCCTGAAGCTGAGACTCCAATATTTTGGCCACCTCATGAGAAGAGAAGACTCCCTGGAAAAGACCCTGATGTTGGCAAAGATTGAGGGCACAAGGAGAAGGGGACGACAGAGGATGAGATGGCTGGACAGTGTTCTGGAAGCTACCAGCATGAGTTTGACCCAACTGCGGGAGGCAATGGAAGACAGAAGTGCCTGGCGTGCTCTGGTCCATGGGGTTACAAAGAGTTGGACACGATTAAACGACTAAACAACAACAACAACATGGAAGGGAGTTCAAGTGAGAGGGCCACAACCTTTTCTAGCTACTAGGTCTGGCTGATTTTGATGCTGGGTCTGCTAACAGGGTCTGTTAGGACCTATATGCACAGCAATTACTTCAAGTAACTTGGCCCCAAACAGTTTAGAGCTTAAAGGTAACAAAACAATTTGGGTGTTACACACATCAACCATTTAGCTCCTTTCAAGGTGGAAGGATTCGTATTTGGATGGTGCCTGCTGAGTAAACAATACATGGACACTAATAAAACTGAAATGTGCTTGGATGTTCTCCCAGATCTCCCTCAAAAAGATGTGTCACGTCAAACAAAAATGGAATCAAACTACCTACAGTGCACACATAGGTGCAACAGCATCCGTGAAGACTTACTTTTGCAAAAGTCATTTTTTATCTATTTATCTACATTAGGGCTGCCATATATCCAGCGGATTTTTGCTGAATCAGCACAATGTCCGGGACATATGGCAAGTAGGGCAATATATAGATGATAGATAGATAGACAGATGATAGATAGATAGATAGATAGATAGATAGATAGATAGATGATAGATGATGATAGATGATGATAGATGATAGATAGATAGATGATAGATAGATGATAGATATAGATAGATAGATAGATAGATAGATAGATAGATAGATAGATAGATAGATAGATGATAGATAGATAGATTGATAGATGATAGATAGATGATAGATAGATATAGAT